TGAACTCATACAGTTATATCCACATAGCAACACCTATGATTTGCGATAACCAATACATTTACGTGTTTATCACATTGGGCAACCCATTCCAGTCAAATGCTTTGCACAAGTCCAGGTAGATGACGTCAGACTTCTCTACCCCTGTCCATCAGTTCCATAGCCCCATCACAGACGGCCACCAAATTGGTCAGGCAAGATTTCCCCTTAGTGAAGCCATGCTGGCTGTCACCAACCACCTCATTGTTTTTCATGTGTCTTAGCATGCCTTCCAGGAGACTCTGCTCCAAGATTTTGCCAGGCACAGATGTGAGACTGACTGGTCTGTAATTCCCTGGGTCATCCATTTTCCCCTTCTTGAATATGGGGGTTATATTTCCCTTTTTCCAGTCATTGGGAACTTCACCTGACTGCCATGATTTTTCAAATATGATGGCCAGTGGCTTAGCAACTTCATGAAGTAAGTAGTGAAACCAGCCATATCACTAATTCTTCTGATAACTAGCAAAGATTTAGAACACTCTGAAATTCCTGCAAAATTTATTGCAGGATGGGTAGACAAGGAGTATCCCAGGCTAGCAGATGTTTGGGAGGCTCTGTCTCTAAACTAACTGATAAGTAGAAGGATGGTGTGAAATAACTCATTCATGTTTAGTGGGGCCACTAAATCCTGTTATCTCACCACAGACTTACAACACAAACACTGTTCTTTAAAGCTAAAGGTACTTTAGAAGACTAGTGTGAAACAATTTACTTATGTTTAGTGGGGCCACTAAATTCCACAGATTTGCAACATAAACAATGTTCTAATGTTCTCTTTCTACAACCTAAGTTAAGCTAAAAAGTACTTTATGTTTTCCAGGCACTAACTTTTCTTATACTGAGCCCCCCCCCCCTTCTTTTACCTTTTGCTGTGGTTTAAACCCAGCCAGCCATAAATCACACAGTCGCTCTCTCACTCCTGCCCTTTCTTTTCCTCCCCCTACTCCCGGAGGGACAGAGAGGAGAATCAAAAAGAATGCAACTCCCATGGGCTGAGATAAGAACAGTTTAGTAACTAAGGTATAACACAAATCACTACTGCTACCACCAATAATAATAATGATAAAGGAAATAACAAGGGAAGAGAATACAACACCTCACCACCCACCAACCAATAACTCACTCCCCCTCCAGACCAAGCACCAACCAATACCTAGTCCAACCCCGCAGAAAACTAGCCCTTCCGGGTAACTCTGTTACATCCTGGGCATGACATGCTGTGGTATGGAATACTTCTTTGGTCAGTTTGGGTCAGGTGTCCTGTCTCTGCTTCCTCCCGGCTTCCCCTCCTCCCTGGCAGAGCATGAGGCTCAGAAAGTCCTTGGCAATACCAAACATTTGAGCAGTAACTAAAAACATTGGTGTTATCAGCACCGTTCCCAGGCCGAAAGTCAAAAACACAGTGCTGCACCAGCTACTAAGAAGGAGAAAAAATGACTGCTACTGCTGAACCCAGGACACCTTTACAAATTCTTTCACTATGTGAATCCATTTTGCTCAAGAGTTCTGGCCATTTTTAACTTGTTGTCTAATCTTGTGTCTTTATCGAGCTTTGTTTCTGTTACTGTGAACTCATACAGTTATATCCACATAGCCACATGTATGATTTGCGAAAGCCAATACATTTATGTGCTTATCACATAATGAAGAAATTCTTTACTGTTAGGGTGGTGAGGCACTGGAATGGGTTGCCCAGGGAAGTTGCGAATGCTCCATCCCTGGTGGTGTTCAAGGCCAGGTTGGTTTAGTATGCAGTGTCCCTGCCCATGGCAGGGGGTTTGGAAGCAGATGAACTTAAGGTCCTTTCCAACCCTAACTATTCTATGGTTCTATGGTTCTGTGGTTCTATTCTAAATACCATGACTCAAACAGACACACTCTGAGAAGACAATGTCATCTCTGGATGAAAAATATATTCTGTGGTTAAAAAGACTATCTTCGTACAAACCATGAAACTAAGCTGGTGCAAACTGGTTCTGTAGTTAAACAGTAAGTTGGGGTACCACATGTCTGCCAGACAGTTATGAAATTGAACCATAAAAGGAGATAAATAAATAAGAGGAAGGGGTGTACAAAATTGAGTAAGGGGAGATGTAAGGCTGGAGAGTATGGAACTCTGTCTGGGGACAGGTGAGCAGTCCACAGAGAGTTTGTGGGCCAGGGTTAAAGGGAACATAGCTATGGGAGACATTACTGTGGGGATCTGTTACAGACCGCCTGATCAAGGAGAACCTGTGGATGAAGCACTCTATAGACAGATAGGAAAAGCCTCACGCTCGCATGCCCTTGTTCTCATGAGTGACTTCAACCACCCTGACATCTGGTACGGCCCGGCACAAGCAATCCAGGAGGTTCCTCGACTGTGTAGAAGACAACTTCCTTCTGCAAGTAATAGAGGAGCTGACAAGCAAAGGTGCCGTGCTTGACCTCGTGCTCACCAACAGGGAAGGGCTCGTTGGAAATGTGACGCTCCAGGGCAGCCTTGGATGCAGCGATCATGAAATGCTCGAATTTGAGATCCTCAGGACAGTGAGAAGAGCGTGCAGCAAGCTCACTGCCCTGGACTTCAGAAGAGCAGACTTTGGCCTCTTCAGGAACCTGCTTCGGAAGGTTCCATGGGATACAGCCCTAGAGGGCAGAGGGGCCTAAGACTGTTGGTTGATATTCAAGGATCACCTGCTGCAAGCTCAGGAGTGTTGCATCCCAACCAGAAGGAAGTGCAGCAGGAGGGCCAGGAGACCTCCTTGGATGGATAAGGAGCTCCTGAGGAAAATTCAATTGAAAAAAGAGGCTTATAATAAGTGGAAGCAAGGACAGGTGGCATGGGAAGAGTACAGGGATGCTGTCCGAGAAGCTAGGGACCAGGTTAGGAAAGCTAAGGCTCAGTTAGAATTAAACTTAGCTAGAGGTATTAAAGATAACAGGAAGGGATTCTACAGGTACATAGCAAATAAAAAACAGATGAGGGACAATGTGGGCCCTCTCCGGAAGCTCTCAGGAGAACTGCCTACACAGGATTTGGAGAAGGCTGAAGTTCTGAATGACTTCTTTGCTTCGGTCTTCACTGCCAAAGGCTCTGACTGCACCACCCAAGTCGTGGAAGGCAGATGCAGGGACTGTGAGAATGAAGACCTTGCGCCCACTGTAGGAGAGGAACTGGTTCGAGACCATCTTAAAAATCTGAATGTGCACAAGTCCATGGGTCCTGATGAGATCCATCCGCAGGTCCTGAAGGAGCTGGCAAATGAAGTTGCGAAGCTGCTGGCCATCATATTTGAGAAATCATGGCAGTCAGGTGAACTTCCCGATGACTGGAAAAAGGGAAATATAACCCCCATATTCAAGGAGGGGAAAATGGATGACCCAGGGAATTACAGACCAGTCTCACATCTGTGCCTGGCAAAATCTTGGAGCAGATTCTCCTGGAAGGCATGCTAAGGCACATGAAAATCAACAAGGTGCTTGGTGACAGCCAGCATGGCTTCACTAAGGGGAAATCCTGCCTGACCAATTTGGTGGCCTTCTATGATGGGGCTACAGATCTGATGGACAGGGGTAGAGCAGTTGATGTCATCTACCTGGACTTGTGCAAAGCATTCGACACTGTCCCACATGACATCCTTGTCTCTAAATTGGAGAGACATCAATTTGATGGATGGACCACTCAGTGGATAAAGAACTGGCTGGATGGCCGCACACAAAGAGTTGGGGTCAATGGCTCAACGTCCGGCTGGAGACCAGTAACGAGTGGTGTCCCTCAGGGATCAGTGTTGGGACCGGTCTTGTTTAACATCTTCGTCGCGGACATGGACAGTGGGATTGAGTGTGCCCTCAGCAAGTTTGCCGATGGCACCAAGCTGTGTGGATCGGTTGATACGCTGGAGGGAAGGAATGCCATCCAGAGGGACCTTGACACACTTGTGAGGTGGGTTGATGCCAACCTCATGAGGTTTAACCATGACAAGTGCAAGGTCCTACACTTGGGTCGGAGCAATCCCAGGCACAGCTACAGGTTGTGCAGAGAAGAGATTCAGAGCAGCCCTGCGCAGAAGGACTTGGGGGTGCTGGTCGATGAGAAAATGAACATGAGCAGGCAGTGTGCGCTTGCAGCCCAGAAAGCCAACCATATCCTGGGCTGCATCAAAAGGAGCATGACCAGCAGGTCGAAGGAGGTGATCCTGCCCCTCTACTCTGCTTTTGTGAGACCTCACCTGGAGTATTGTGTGCAGTTCTGGTGTCCTCAACATAAAAAGGACATGGAACTGTTGGAACAAGTCCAGAGAAGGGCCACGAGGATGATCAGGGGACTGGAGCACCTCCCTTATGAAGACAGGCTGAGGAAGTTGGAGCTGTTCAGCCTGGAGAAGAGAAGGCTGCGTGGAGACCTCATAGCAGCCTTCCAGTATCTGAAGGGGGCCTATAGGGATGCTGGAGAGGGACTCTTCATTAGGGACTGTAGTGACAGGAGAAGGGGTAATGGGTTAAAACTTAAACAGGGGAAGTTTAGGTTGGATATAAGAAGGAAATTCTTTCCTGTTAGGGTGGTGAGGCACTGGAATAGGTTGCCCAGGGAGGTTGTGAATGCTCCATCCCTGTCAGTGTTCAAGGCCAGGTTGGACGAGGCCTTGGGTGATATGATTTAGCGTAAGGTGTCCCTGCCCACGGCAGGGGGGTTGAAACTAGATGATCTTAAGGTCCTTTCCAACCCTAACTATTCTATGATTCTATGATTCTAACCAGAGGCGGGACAGTTAGCACGTAGATTACACGTCAGATAGGCTGTAAACCTTGGAGTACCCAACCAGTGGGGAAACAAGGGAGGGAACCTGTGGACGGGATGAGAAATGTAAATCAAAGTTCTGCTTTTGCTGGGTGTGCCTACTTGCTAGGACACCCGTTTTTGCACAAACTTTAATATTAGCTGCTTCACTGCTGTGTCTAACTGAGGCCTGCCTGAACCTAGAAGCCATTTCTCACAAGCTTCACTTTCAAGGAGCACTTGTCTTTCTGCAGCTCCATCTCCTGGGCCAGCTTCACAGACAGGATGCCCTCTGCCTTCAGCTCAGTGAGGTTTTCCTGGTGTTTGTACAGCAGGTGCTTCACCTTCTGCTTGTAAACCTAAAGACAACTCACAGACCGGGTGAGGTTCTTCAGCAGGAGACACCCAGAGCTGGGATATTGGCTAAGATGCTCTTGGCTCACATCCCTCCCAGATCCTCCTCCTCTTCCCCCTTCCCTCTCTTCCTCAGAGCTGCCCGAGTCTCACCCCAATCTTGGGGCACTCTCAGACTTCTCCCCTCCCACCTTGATCTCCACTTGATGCTGTGTTGCAGAATGACTCTAAGAGCAGGACCATAGAGCCCTGGAGGACTGTGCGAGCAAGGCAGGGGCTGGCCCCCACAGGTAACCGGAAACCGGACATGGGAGGAGAATGTGGAGGAAGCTGTGTGGGGCTAACCAATACTGTTGTGCCAAGGAGGAGTGGCTGAATACCATTCCTATATATATGTGAACTGCGTCACAAATAAAGTAGAAGTTTGCTTATCACCCATATTGGGTTGGCCTGTCTGCTTCTCCTCGCCGCTTACAATGCTGCTCCTCCATCTCCCAGTCCTTGTTGCACAGCTCCACTCTCTTCTCCTCCAGCTGCCAGCGGGTGATCTCCCAGAGGGTGTGCATCATGTCATGCTCCAGCTGGAAATAGCTGTGCTCTTCCTGTTCCCAGTCCAGCTCCTCCTGGAGATGCACAATGTGCTTCTCCAGCTGCAAAGGAGAGAGGAAGAGTCAAGTAGGGGGACATGGAGGCCTCAGAAAGGTACCTTTGCAAGACACCCATGGCAAGCCATGTTGCAAACCTGACAGGACACAGTGGCATTTACTTGGATGAAGAAGAGCAGGAAAAAAGGGGAGAAGCCCTGACCTACCCTGGGCTCGACAGAACCCATCAGTCTCTGGAAGAACAGTAACAAAAACTTATAGGCAGCCTGGGCTCAGCTATTCTATCTCGCAGTGTCCAGTAACACCATTCTCATGTGCCTAAATACTCCCGAAGCATATAATCAGACTCGTTTAGGTTGGAAAAGGCCTTTAAGATCATCAAGTCCAACCATTAGCCTGGCACTGGCAAGTCCACCACTAAACCATGTCCCTAAGTGCCACATTTCCACATCTTTTAAATATCTCCAGGGATGGTGACTCCACCACTTCCCTGGGCAGCCGGCTCCAGTGCTTGACAACCCTTTTGGGGAAGAAATTGTTCCTAATATCCAGTCTAAACATCCCCTGGTGCAGCTAGAGGCCATTACCTCTTGTCCTATCGCTTGTTACTTGGGAAGAGAAACTGATCCCACCTTGCTACAACTTCCTTTCAAGTAGTTGTAGAGAGCGATAAGGTCTCCTCCCCTCAGCCTCCTTTTCTTCAGGCTAAGCAACCCCAGTTCCCTCAGCTACTCCTCACAAAACCTGTGTTCCAGGCCCTTCACCAGCTTTGTTGACTTTCTCTGGACCCACTCCAGCACCACAGTTTCTTGTAGTGAGTGGCCCAGAACTGAACACAGGATTTGAGTTGTGGCCTTACCAGTACCGAGCACAGGGGGAGGGGGACAATCACCTCCCTAGTCCTGTAGGATGAGGTGGCTGCTCCTTCCAGGAACAGGGAGAACTGCCCCTACATAGCCCAGACAGGCATTAGGCAGCAAAAGAAACCCCATCTGCTTGTTTCCATCATGCTCAGCAACCCGTTGTCCCCAGAGACAGATGCTAAACAGGGGTCCTGAGCACAATGCCCTCATGCTCAAGGGTGGGCTGCAAGATGGAGGTTCTCTCATCTCCTCCTTGCTCATGCCCGTTGGGAATAAGGCATCAACCACTGCTGGACTTTTGCTCACATTCCCTTTTTTTCCAACATTCTTTTTGGGTGCCTAAGGAAAGACAGAAAAATCACAGTCACAGATTGGTTTGGGTTGGAAGGGACCTTAAAGCTCCTCCGGTTCCAGCCTCCTGCCACAGGCAGGGACACCTTCCACTAGACCAGGTTGTTCCAAGCCCCGTCCAACCTGGCCTTGAACACTGCCAGGGAGGGGGCAGACACAGCTTCTCTGGGCGCCCTGGGCCAGCACCTCAGCACCCTCACAGGGAAGAGCTTCTTCCTAAGATCTCAATCTCATCTCTGGCAGGTTAAAGCCATTCAGCCTTGTCCTGTCCCTACAGGCCCTTGTCAAAAGCCCCTCTTCAGATTTCCTGTAGTCCCTTTAGGCACTAAAAGCTGCTTTAAGGTCTCCCCCGAGCCTTCTCTTCTCCAGGCTGAAGGGCTGCCACCAGCCCACACCACTAAGCCCCTTCATGGCAGGGGCGTACGAGGAGAACAGCGGGGAGCGCCAGAGCCGGGGATAATTCTGAGGCCTCCGAGGCCCTCCCCAAGATCGGAGTGGAGCGGGCCAAGCCTCCCCTTCCCACATCCCCCGGCTCCAGGGGACCCTTCAGTAACGGGTCAGAACCCCTCATACACCAGCCGGTGCCGGTCCCGGTTCCCCTCTCACCATGACGGCTGCCACCGGCGCCACAGTCTCCAGGCAATGGTCGAACTGATCTCGCGACCCTGGACACACCCCCTAGCAACGCGGCACTCCGCTTTAGCAACGGCGGCGGGGCCTACTCCAGGCCCGGCCAGCGGGGTCTCCGCGGTGACCGGTTCCGGCACCCCTCCGCGCCCCTAGGCTCCGTGCTGCGCTGCGGCCCCCTACACCAGCCGCTGGGGCCTCCGCCGCACCCCTGCACCCTCGGTCTCCGTGTGCGTGTCCCGGGTGTCCTCCATACCCCCGATCCCTGCCGTGCCTCCCCCTTCGCCTCGTGTCCGCCCCTCCCGGTGTTCCTGGTCCCGGGTGAGCCTGTCCTCGCCCCTCACCCCCTCAACCCCCGCACCGCCCCCGGCACCGCCCCCGCTGTGGCGGGCAGGACCGTGAGGGCTGCGGGATAGCACCGGGCTCGCCCCGCCTAGCACCGGCCTATGGCGGCTCCGGGAGTGACCGGCACCGCAGGTGAGGCAGCCGGTGGGGGGCGGGTAACGGACCAGAGCGCTCACCACTGCGATCCCGGGGGCTCTGAGCCTGCAGCGGGCGGAAATGGGCCGGGCCCCGTGGAGCGGGAGTGCCGGGGTTCACGGGGAGATGTAGGGTGGAGGAAAAAGGGGTGTGTGTGCAAGACGGGGTATAACGGGGGGGGTGTATGCAGATGCAGGAGGGTGCGGGGGACTCTGGGGGGGTTATGTGGTGTGTGTGTAAGGAAAGTGCAGAGGTGCATGGGGGGAGTGTGTGCACCCGGGTGCAATAAACTGGGGGTACCCGTCCGCGGGGGGGGGGGAGCGGGGGGTGCTCAGGATAAGGACAGGGGGATGCAGGCAGAGTCTGGGATGGGGCTGTGGGGGTGCCCAGGGGACATGGGGGAGCAGTGGGGGGGCAGGAAAGGGTTTGGGGTGCTTGTGGCAGGCCAAGGCACGGGGGGGAGGGGGCCGGGCAGAGCCCCAGTGCAGGTGTGCCAGTGCTGTAGGAGGGACATGGAGGACTGGAGAGGTGCTTGGGGACAAGGTGGTGGCCATGCTGGTATTACATGGGGCTGTAGTGAGGCCCTGCATGGTAACACAGGTGGCTCCTGCACACAGCCATACTTCCCACATGTGCCCTGCACATGGCTGATCCATGGCCCTGGTCCTTGTGGCAGCCCCGGTCATGCCCTTCCAGAGCACTAGACCTTTGGCAGCTGGGCAATGCCACCGGGACTTGCACTGACCGGGAGCAGGGCTGCCACCGATGGGGTGACTAGAGCCATCTACTGCTAGACTCTGCAGTTTGACATGAGTCAGCAGAGTGGTAGTAGCAGTGAGGGAGCCCTGATATTGGCCCCACTTCCCCCCAAGGCAGCCAGTGAGCCCAGGCCAAAGTGGGGCAGCATAGCTGGTGTCCCAGTGTGACCATGCAGGCCTGTGGGGATTTCTGCAGCAGGGAGCAGTGCCCTGGTGGGTGGGGATGCAGGGGGCTGCTAGTGGCAGGGGGAACACACATGCTCCATAGGGTAACACCACCGTGTCACCCACTGAGGCTGGGTGGTAGGGTGGCAGGAGCAGGCAGCCCCTGTGACCACCTGGGAGCTCTTCCCAGTGTTGAAGTGGGGTGGGGACCCTGGTTTCTAGCTGGAGGGAAGGTGCTGACAGTGCAGGGTGCCTGGTTGGTCTGATTCGGAGAAAACTCCAGGGACAAACTTGCCAACAAAGTTTTCAAGTTGACAAGCAGGTATTCTTTATTGTGGCACCGGGAGACATGGGGGATAGCTCCTCCTAACGTGTATCGCCGTATTGCTACACAGGCCATCCTTATAGTCACTGGGCATACATACATATTCATGAGGCTACACATGAATTACATCATTTTCCAGAAAGTTTCCCGCATGCATACAAAAATGTGGTGGTGGTCTTTGAGAGTCATTTACTTCTTCCAACAATCTTCATCACTTCTGGCAGTCTTTGAAGCACCAGCTTAATTAACATTACAGACATAGCAATCATCCTGTCCTTCTACCTATCAGTTAGTTTAACTGCACCCATCCTGGACATCTGCTAGTCCCAGATACTCCCCATCCCCAGGTCCCATTTTTCTATTCTGTTTTTCTTACACTTTTTGTACTATGGTCTTAAGGACCTAAAACTACGTCAACTACCTTCAAGCACCTCAGTTATTTTCCATTACAAAGCCATCCAACTTGACCTTACTTAGAACTGATTGCGTTTTACGCTTTTGTGCCTCTTTGTATCAAATCCCCCCTTTTTCCGTCCTTCTACAAATTCTCTTGAAACATTTCATATACTATCATTACCATCTAGAGTCTTTTTGAAATAATTTCCTGTTTCTACTTGATTCTTGATTTCATTTTTTTCCAATCTTCATAATTTATCATAGATCATTTACAACACTAGAAGGAACATTGTATCATACCATAAGTAATAGATATTAAACCAATTAATATTAATATTCCTGCAACCAGTTGCCTCAACCAGGAGAGACTGGGTAACCATGAGGTTAACTTTATCCATATTTCTTCAAACCCCCAGGAGGTATCATCCTTGGCCATTTCATGAAATATTTTAGTTTGTTTCAAAATTTCCTCCAGATCTGTTTCAATTCTGCCACTTTGGTCTATATAGGAACAGCAACTTTCATTGATTATGGAACAAACCCCTCCTTGTGAAGCCAGTAACATTTCTAAAGCCATTTGGTTTTGTAATACCATTTTAGATAGGCTGGTTATCTCTTCTTGTTCCTCTTGGATTATATCAATAGTTTTACTTTCTATTTCCTCTATGGTTGCTGAGATATTTACAATTGCCTTCTCTAAATCACTTATTCCCAAAGATGGAATTAGCCATATCACAGAACTATGAAATGCGGTGTTGCATTCAGCAATAGGGTTAAACCCTCGCTTAATCCGTTTAGCAAAACTTCTAATCCAGGTCCCAGAAGAATACCTGTTGATAATAGTAAGATTGGGTATCATAGCACCTAAGGTGTTGTCGTGGTTTAAACCCAGTCAGGTAACTTGTTCACTCACTCCCAGTGAGTGGTGCCGAGCTGACAACAATCAAGGTCCGTGTCCGTCTCCCCCCCCCCCCGCACCAGGGCTCTCCCCTTCCCCGCTCCCGGAGGAACGGGGAGGAGGATCGAGAGAGTGCAACTCCTACGGGTTGAGACAAGAACAGTCCAGCAACAAATCACCACCGCTACTATCAGCTAAAACAATGATAAGGGAAAATAACAAGGGAAGAGAATACGATACCACCGGCCAAGAAAACGAGTTCCACCCGGAAGCTCCTGTCCTTCCGGGTAACTCCCAGTTACCCCCCACCCCGGGCATGACGTGCTGTGGTATGGAATACCTCCCCGGCTAGCCCGGGTCAGGCGCCCCGTCTCTGCTTCCTCACAGCTTCCCCTCCTCCCTGGCAGAGCATGAGCCTCACAGAGTCCTTGGTCAGGGTAAACATCACTTAGCAACAACCGACAACATCGGCTTCACCAACGCTGTTCTCCAACTAGAAGTCAAAACACAGCACTGCACCAGTTAACACAAAGGAAAAAACATGACTGCTACTGCTGAACCCAGGACATTATCCACCCCTTATTCCATACCATTCACGTCGTGCTCAGATCCCACATTTTCAATACACCATCGCTCTCCCACATATATACATCCATATACATACAGACCAAGAGGAAAAAATCATTTTCTTAGTGCATGGACCAATCCCTATAATGCTGCCGAGTCCATTCGGTCCATGATGTTCCAAGTTCATTCTCTGTTGGGATGATGGCTGGAGGGAAGTCAGGGCCAGTCGCTGGTGACCTGGAGACATCTAGTTGATGGGCTATAAAAGCATTACACAGCAGGCAACAGTATACAATTGAGTTCACTGGCTGTTTTCCCCTAAAATCAAATCCCCTTGAGGTATACATCGGACTTCCCCATCTTCCCGCATTACCCACCAAGTATATCCAGGTCCCTGAGCAAAAGCAATCCCACGAGTGGGTTTGCCTTTACCTGAAGCAGGAATAACCCAGACTGTCTTCCCCAGCAAATTCTTCATATGCACCACAGGAACTTTGTCCCCCTCTACAATATGTAAAACTTCTGACTGGGCTGGGCCAGCCCTGTTGGCAGATCCTCTGGTGTTGACCAACCAGGTGGCCTTTGGTAAATGTGTATCCCAATGCTTGAAAGTTCCCCCACCCATCGCTCTCAGTGTAGTTTTTAACAGCCCATTGTACCGTTCGATTTTCCCAGAGGCTGGTGCATGGTAGGGGATGTGATATACCCACTCAATGCCATGCTCTTTGGCCCAAATATCTATAAGGTTATTCCGGAAATGAGTCCCATTGTCTGATTCAATTCTCTCTGGGGTGCCGTGTCGCCACAAAATCTGTTTCTCAAGGCCCAGGATAGTGTTTCGGGCAGTGGCATGGGGCACAGCGTATGTTTCCAGCCACCCGGTGGTTGCTTCCACCATGGTAAGCACATGGCGCTTGCCTTGGCGGGTTGGTGGCAGTGTGATATAGTCAATCTGCCAGGCCTCCCCATATTTATACTTCAACCATCGTCCTCCATACCAAAGAGGCTTTAACCGCTTGGCTTGTTTAATTGCAGCACATGTTTCACACTCATGAATAACCTGGGCAATAGTGTCCATTGTTAAGTCCACCCCTCGGTCACGGGCCCATCTGTATGTCGCATCTCTGCCCTGATGGCCTGAAGTGTCATGGGCCCACCGGGCCAAAAATAATTCACCTTTATGTTGCCAATCTAAGTCCATCTGAGCCACTTCAATCTTAGCCACTTTATCCACTTGTTGGTTGTTCTGGTGTTCCTCAGTGGCCCGACTCTTGGGTACATGGGCATCTACATGACGTACCTTCACCACCAGGTTCTGCACCCGGGCAGCAATATCTTTCCACAGTGCAGCAGCCCAGATGGGTTTACCTCTGCGTTGCCAGTTGTTCTGCTTCCATTGCTTCAACCACCCCCACAGGGCATTTGCCACCATCCATGAGTCAGTATAGAGATAAAGTACTGGCCACTTTTCTCGTTCAGCAATGTCCAGGGCCAGCTGGATGGCTTTCACCTCGGCAAATTGACTCGATTCACCCTCTCCTTCAGCAGTTTCTGCAACTTGTCGTCCAGGACTCCATACAGCTGCCTTCCATCTCCGATGCTTTCCCACAATACGGCAAGAGCCATCAGTAAACAAGGCATACTGCTTTTCACTTTCTGACAGTTTATTATATGGTGGGGCCTCTTCAGCACGCACCACCTCCTCCTCTGGTGACATTCCGAAATCTTTGCCCTCTGGCCAGTCCATGATGACTTCTAGAATGCCTGGACGACTGGGATTTCCTATTCGAGTTCGTTGTGTAATTAGTGCAGCCCATTTACTCCATGTAGCATCAGTTGCATGATGTGTAGAGGAGACCCTGCCTTTGAACATCCAGCCCAGCACGGGCAGCCGGGGTGCCAGGAGGAGCTGTGCTTCAGTGCCAATCACTTCCGAAGCAGCTCGAACCCCTTCATAGGCTGCCAGTATCTCTTTCTCAGTTGGGGTATAGCTGGCCTCAGATCCTTTGTATCCCCGACTCCAAAAGCCGAGGGGTCGACCTCGAGTCTCCCCTGGAGCTTTCTGCCAGAGGCTCCAGGTAGGACCGTTCTCCCCAGCTGCAGTGTACAGCACATTTTTTACATCTGGCCCGGTCCGGACTGGTCCAAGGGCTACTGCATGAACTATCTCGCGTTTAATTTGCTCAAAGGCTTGTTGCTGCTCAGGGCCCCATTTAAAATCATTCTTCTTCCGGGTCACATGATAGAGAGGGCTTACAATCGACCTGTAATTTGGGATGTGCATTCTCCAGAACCCCACTGCACCCAAGAAAGCTTGCATTTCTTTCTTATTAGTTGGTGGAGACATTGCTGTTATCTTGTTGATCACATCTGTGGGGATCTGTCTACGTCCATCTTGCCATTTTATTCCCAAAAATTGAATCTCCTGTGCAGGTCCCTTGACCTTACTCCGTTTTATGGCAAAACCGGCTTTCAGCAGGATTTGGATTATTTTCCTCCCTTTCTCAAAGACTTCTTCCGCTGTATCGCCCCACACAATAATGTCATCAATGTATTGCAGGTGTTCTGGAGCTTGCCCCTGTTCCAGTGCAGTCTGGATCAGTCCATGGCAAATGGTAGGGCTGTGTTTCCACCCCAGGGGCAGTCGGTTCCAAGTGAACTGGACACCCCTCCAAGTAAAAGCAAACTGTGGCCTGCACTCTGCTGCCAAAGGAATGGAGAAAAATGCATTGGCAATATCAATCGTGGCATACCACTTGGCTGCCTTTGACTCTAGTTCATACTGAAGTTCTAGCATGTCCGGTACGGCAGCACTCAATGGTGGTGTGACTTCATTCAGGCCACGATAGTCTACTGTTAGTCTCCATTCTCCATTAGACTTTCGCACTGGCCATATGGGGCTATTGAAGGGTGAGCGGGTCCTGCTGATCACCCCCTGACTCTCCAGTCTACGGATCAGCTGATGGATGGGAATCAGGGAGTCTCGGTTGGTGCGATATTGCCGCCGGTGCACTGTTGTGGTCGCAATTGGCACTTGTTGTTCTTCAACTTTCAGCAACCCCACAGCAGAGGGATCTTCTGAGAGACCAGGCAAGGTGGACAGCTGCTCAATTTCCTCAGTCTCCAAAGCAGCAATACCAAAAGCCCACCGGTACCCTTTTGGGTCTTTGAAGTACCCTCTCTTGAGGTAGTCTATGCCGAGGATGCATGGAGCCTCTGGACCAGTCACAATAGGGTGCTTTTGCCACTCCCTCCCAGTCAGGCTGATTTCAGCCTCCAGCACAGTCAACTCTTGGGATCCTCCTGTTACTCCAGAAATATAGATGGGTTCCACCCCTTGACAGCTTGATGGCATCAGGGTACACTGTGCACCGGTATCTACTAGAGCCTTATACTTCTGTGGGACTGATGTGCCAGGCCATCTGATCCACACAGTCCAGTAAATCCGATTGTCCCCTACCTCCACCTGGCT